CGAATGTCATAGTCTGATTAGATGCATTATAAAAAATGAGAAACATGTCTATTCTTCTACTTTTACTTTGGGGGGGGGGTACTTTATTCAGCTCAAGTTCGGATGTGTGGAGTCTGAGGATTATTCCTGACTGTTCATTTATATTAGGTATCTGGGCTGTCATATCAAAATGCAATGAAGTACTCAACTACTTCGCCCAACGATCCTGACTCACATGAAGATTTCAGGCCAACTAGTAAGGTTGAGAGTTCTCTTTCTGTCAAAGATATTGTTGATCAGGTGATTTTTTTTCTCTTCCTGTGACTATTTATACAAATACTTTGTTAAATACGAAGTATGTACTTATCTTTAGCCAGGGGTTGTATCTTTTAGGTTATAATCCTAGGTTGAATTCATCTTTTTTCTTGTTATCTTCAGGATGTGAAGGAGAATCCAGTTATGATTTATATGAAGGGAAATCCTGAAATGCCTAGATGTGGTTTCAGCTCTCTCGCAGTGAGGGTATTGAAGGAATATCGTAAGTTTTCTACTCTTGGTTGATTATTTGACATTTCTTCACATCTGTTCTTTCATTGCTTTCATGCACCCCCAGATTACCAGTTATGTATTATTTTACATATTGAGGCCCTTTAAAGTGTTGATATAACTTATGAACATGATCGCTGGAGCTAACTTTATACATGGGATGGACCTTGATAAAAACTCCCCATTTGATGGACTAGGGAGGACAGACTGGTTATAAAGCTACCCTGACTAAGCTCAGTATTGGCTGAGTTTCAGTATCTCATGAAATTCTTGGCTTGCATGAACCCCTTGTCATCAAGTCAAGGAATATGTTGTTCTTGAATATGTTCCGATTGGTCTATGAACCCCTTATTGTAATGTTCTTTATATGTAGATTTCTGTTGTTATCTCTCTTGATACATTTCAGTCTTGTATCACATGTACGGTCATATAAAGCTTTTTATGTAGGCCCCTTTTCTGTCAATACATTTGGGAAATTGAATGATGGCTCTAGATTCTCTTTCTTATCTAAACTATAGTTTTCCTATTTTTTTTTGTCGTTTGTTTTTCTTCATACCTAAATTCTTCTTAAGCTTTTGTTGCTGACATGCCATTGATTTGACACTTCCCTAGCTGTGGTAGCATTGTGCGTAATGTAGTGAGGGCATACCAGCCAAGTGCAAAAGCTCCTCATCTTATAAATTTAATTGTTAAACCTTCATTGGTATGTATTTATGCTGTTGATCTGTCCTTGTCAGAAAATTAGTCTAATATTCATCCATGTAAATAAAGAGATTTCATAAAGTTGCATTCTGAAGGTGAAAACATATTTCCATCTTCCTCTGATCCATTGAATGCTATTAAGAGATGGCTAGCGAGGTTGTATGGTTTACATATATCCTGATATTTTTGTCAGTGTAGTTATTCCTTTGTAGTGTTCTTCGTGGATATAGCTGTTATTTTCTGTAACTTTTCGTATTACCTTTAAATCTGTCTGGCGAGCTGGTTACCTCATCTTGCTCATTAATGTGTGCTGTGTAGGTGTTCCTTTTGGTTCAAGAAATATCTTGGAAGACATGGAGCTGAAGGATGCTGTTAAATCTTACAGGTGCGTTGCCTATTAATTTTGTAGTTGGAGTTGTTACTTCTCAAAAATTCATCAGGATTCATGATATAGCTTGATTTACTTTTGAAATGTTCAACTATTTCACTGACATGCTAGCAATTTGATGATTCACGCTGTATTGGTTATCCTTGTGGTGGCTTGGCTTGCTATGGGTTTACTTTGACACTTGCCTCCTTTCTGAATTGTAAATTGAGTTTTCCCAAAACAGTTTTATCACTATTTTCTTAAGATGCAGCTATCCTGGCTTCTTGCTCCTTCAATTCTCTTGGATCAGCTTTTTGTCTGGTGTCGCTATCATTAATCTTTTATTTGCTGCATAATTGTCTCACCTGTTATTGCTGACAAATTGATTGCTTATACGAAGTATATGTAATCATTATAGCTTTAATAGATTGGCTTTAGGAACACTTTTATAGTTGGAACTTGGATAGGGATAGTATATGTAATCTCAACAATTATCCAGCGAACATTGACAGGTGCCCCTAATAGGCTAATAATGCCCCTAGGTTTCTCTAAATCTGTTCTGCTGTACTTCATGAGCTACAAGTATGACAAGACAATACCACTGTCACTAAGACCTCTAATATCATTTATCCTACAATTAGAATACTGTTTTCTTCCTAGCTTCCACATCCATGGCATGTCCTCACATCACTGTCACTGATAAGCTTCCTGCTGGTCCCCATCACCCAACCCTCAAAACACTATCTGCTGAATCTGTTCACATGTTTCCTGAATTACTTATAACAAGGAACACCTTGGGTGAACAAGTCATATACCATTGCTTAAGCACTGGCTCCAAGCCCATCCTTTAAGCGTGCACCTCCACAGTCCACACCGTCAATGCATGCAAATTGTCCTTCCCGGGAAATCTTGCTAGCAGGCAACTTTTGCCATAACATCACTTTCATGGTCGCTATATAACTCCACATTGGACCCTCAACAAACCAGGTCTCACCCTTTGCATGTGCTCAGTGTCACATTCACCTCTGGGCATGTTGGAATTCTGATATTGCCTCATGTTGGTCAGCTATTTTCTCATGTTATAGTTTCTCACCCCCCTTCCTCCCCCCCACCCCCCCTCTGCCAGCCTGCCCCAGAGACAACCCTTCTTGCTCTGATGCAATCAGCCAACTCAAATTTCTTTTTGGTAGCAATCTGTAACACACTGCGATGGTGCATTTTAGCAACTTGATTGAGAGAATTAGAGTGTGAGTAGATGAAAAGTACCTCTGGCAAATTTGGTAGGGTAATATGCTAAGATCTCTTGCGAAGTTGGTGCATATTTCATTTGCGAAAATGCTTTGAGAAATGTCGAAATGGAGGGTACTAAATGTTTCTGTACTTCATAGGTAAGAACCAGCTCCCCTCCCCCCCATGTGGGCATAAGTTGGAACGTGAGTGTTTGAGTTACACACCTACCTGGGCTACCTCCTTGTATGAGTGTAGCAATAAACATTGGGGTTTGACATGTGGTGAACTTTTGTGCCATTAATGTTGGACGCCTTGTATAATGGTTCTCATGGATACTTGCATATAGGCAATGATGCAAACTAAGAGCATCAGTGGGTGTATCAAGGCTTTGGGTTTAAGATCATCTTCTGAAACAATATATTTTTATTAGGTTTCTTCTTTTGGTGTTGTTGCTTTGTTTTTGAGCTCGTTGTCTTATTATCCCTCTTTTACTAACTTGTCATTGCTTCATCTATTGTTAATCTGCATTTGGGGCCATTAATTCTTAATCTTAATCAGGAGGTAGTCAACCATCATACTATCACCGAGACTTTTCACATTAGAAAATCCGCATTGTATATTATTCACATTAAATAGTTGTTTCAAATATTAATTTATCTGTATGATGAACCTTTGCTCTTCTCTGCAGCCACTGGCCTACTTTTCCGCAGATATTTATCAAGGGAGAATTCATTGGAGGGTCAGATATCATTCTCAACATGCACCAGGTAAATTCTCGTCGCATCATCAAGCCTACTATTGCTAATAAGTTGATTTGTGATTTGACACCCTCTTCCTCTGCAGACTGGTGAATTGGAGCAAAAGCTGAAAGAAATAGTTCCTAACGAGAAGAAAGCGGAATGATTGTGTTGCTGCTTGATTCAATCTCAGTTATGAGAAGAGATTATTTCTCTCTTTAGGTGACGTTGAGTGTGTAATTTTTGCATTTTGCACCAAAAGATGAGTGGATGTATCATTCAGTGTGACCTAGATAGAAATATTTTGCAAATAATAATCAATAATTTTCCATAATAATGGGAAGCAAGTGAATTTTTGGTATCTCAATTTTTTTTAAAACAAAGGATCTCAACTTTCTTGATTCATCTGGAGGATGAGCACTCTTATTTTTCACATTGAACCGTTTCTCATTTGCAGAGAAACTTTGGAAAAAAAAATGGGGGGGGGGGGTAAGATGGTAAAAAAATGTTTACCAAAATCGGAATAAATTAGAATTGTGGTTAAATTAATGGGAAAGGGGGCAGGTAAAAATAGAGCCATCAATGATACTGTATCTATAAACTTCACACAATTCTCTAGCCTTTTGTTTTCTTACTCCATATTTAAGGTTTAAATAGACATAAATGGATTTAGATTTACTCCCATGGCACTTGAAGATGTATCACTAGTCACTACCCTTTATTTTCATGTGCTAGGGCAGTGAAGAGAATAAAACTTCTTCATTGCATTACCTTTAGTGTAGAGGTAAGCTCTTTTTTCCCACCTTGTCAGCATATTAAAAAAAAAAATGCGGTAGAGATATAAAAACTACTTTGTATTATTGAAAGAAACGTGTTTTTGATATGAAAGGAGTTGATATAGAGATTTTAGTAAAAACTTTCAAGTTAGTGACAATTAATGATAACATAGGGCCTATTTACTCGTTGTATTTAGTCAGTAGTTCGTGCGGATCATTCTAAAATCTTATGGAGTATATATATGATCCAAAGCCTATAAGACTCAACAAATATTATGGTGCTTCCAAATCTCAAACCCAAAACTTTAGTTAAACTATAACAATTCCCTCACCATATGTTCTAATCAGTTTGTTTCTTGTTGCCTTAAAGCCTGTTTACATAACTGAACTGAACTGAGCTGAACTGAATTGATTGAAGCTGAACTGAACTAAATAGATTGGAGCTGAGCTAAATTGAAATGAACTAAGCTGAAATGAATATTTTATGAGAAAAGAAAATTAAAAGCTGAACTGAACTGATTGGAGCTGAAATTAAGTAAATATGAACATGCCCTTATTGATAATTAATTAATTTTTAATTTCATTACAAATAAATCAATGCTCAAATCACTTCTTATTTCATTTGGATGATTGAACCAACCAACCAACCCACAAAAGGCCAAACACAAAGAAAGATTATCCGCGAAACGAAACCTATAAATACTGTAACATGGCGCGAATTCCATTTTTCAAACACTCATTTCTCTCTGAGAACTTTGAGAGAAAGAGCGAAAGACAGAGAAAAACTGTAAATTCTCGAAGTTTCTGGATTTGTCGTCCGCCATTGTTACAGAAATTCGAGGTCGCCATAACCTAATTGTGGCCTAAAGCTTCAATCAAACGATATTTCTGACACTTCAAAATGCAGAAATTAGGGTTTTTCGGCATGAAAGGCTTAGATCAATTCAAATCCTTAACAGGATCTGCTTCAGGAACTGCGAAAACCTTATCAATTTCTTCACGTACAACTTCCGATTCAATTACTTCAGGAGGTTTCGCGAGCTTGAAGCTCACTGCTGGTTTGTCATCTAATTTTCAGTCTTAATTTCAGAATTTCGCAGATTTTTGATGTTGAATTCAATCTAATAGTGATGATTTTTAGAGAAATTGGTGAAGGAACAAGCGTCCGTGAGAACTGACCTAGATTTAGCGGTAATTATTCTCTCAATTTTACGAGTAGTTCAATTCTGAAGTTGTGATTAGTGAAATGCTGAAGAATTTGCTTCAACCTTGATTTTTGATTAATTTTGTAGAATTCGAAGTTGAAGAAATCTTTGGAGCATATTCATGTCCTTGAAGAGAAGCTACAAGCAGCTTGTAATGAGAATGCGAAGCTGAAAGTGAAGCAGAAAGAAGATGAGAAGCTCTGGCAAGGTCTCGAATCAAAGTTCTCTTCGACGAAAACGTTATGTGATCAACTCACTGAGACGTTGCAGCTCTTGGCCTGTCAAGTTCAGGATGGTAAGAATACCTTCGTTTTCGACTGTTTCGCAACTTGTGTTTCGATTCTGTTCCAAGTTCTTAATAGAAGTGTGCTGGTTTGAACAGCGGAGAAGGATAAGCAGTTAATTGGAGAAAAATTAACTGTGAATTCGGCTGCATTGGATACATTGAATGATCAAATGAAGAGTTTATCTCTTAAATTGGATTCAGCAGAGGAAAACATAAGAGAACGTAAGCTTCTGAACCTGTTAGAATTAACATTATGTTTATGATAATGATTGTTTTTGTGTAATGTCAATTTGTTTGAATTTCGTACCCAGGTGACCAGGCATTTAAGGAACTTAAAGAGCAGAAAGAGGAACAAGAGGTGCTTTATGAAGACGAACGATCCAAAACTACCAAGCTTATGGAGGAAAAAGGTAGTCAAAAACTATACAACATTTATGTGATCCTCCCATATTTCCAATTTTTGAGTAATTATGAAGTGAAGTGGTTTTATAACATTGTAGAATTGATTTTATGTGGATATTGTATTGTCACTTTATCTAAGCTATAAGCTTGTTTTGTCAATTTAAACTGGGATTTTATTGCAAGTACCTTATCAATAGTTTACAGAACTGATTATTTGTTATCAACAGATTCACATTCAGAACTTAAACAAGTTCAGTCCATGATTTTCTATTATTGTTTACTTGCTTTACTTTATCTTTTAATGCATTGCAATAGTCTATGATTGTTACGTGTGGATTGTGGTCTTGAGGAAATCTTTACCATTCCTGAATGGTTTAAACACTTGAGATTCAGTGAACTGTTTCAAAATGAGATATTGCTTACTGAGGATTTACATGCACTGTATTGCATGCAGATTCTTTGATAAAATGCCTTGAATCTGACCTTACCACAAGCAGACTAACTGGTGAAAATTTGAAGTCAAAATTTGATGATGTGAGGATAGAACTGAAATCGAAAGAAGAGGATCTTACTCGGATGAGAATTACTCTTGAAAACTTGGAGAGGGAGAAAGTTGATCTTCAATCCAACAATGATGAGTTTGCCAAAAGATTAGCAACATCAGTGCAGGAGACTCAAAATCTTAAGGATGTGGTTAATGCTTTTGATTCAATATTGATTGAATTGGATGAGCACAGTGTGGCTGTTTCCGACAAGATTTCTCAGCTCTGCTCTGTGTATGATAAAGCTTCTAAGTTGGCTGAACAGGAGAAGGATCTCACTGCCAAGCGTGCTCAAGGGCAGTATGGTCTTCTGCATCATCAGCACATGCAGTTAAAATCAGAAATGGATGAACTTCAATCAGTTAATCAGGGATTGAGGGATAAGGTAGATGAGCTTCAGAGCGCACAAGAATCTGCAATGGTGCAGCATGCTGAAGAGTGTCGATTATCAGAAGAGAGGATACGAACATTAGAGTCTGAAGTAGAGGCTCTTCTTTCTAAGAAAACTGAAGCAGAAAAGTTAGTTGCAGACTTAGAGAAGCAAGTTCGCAATCTTTCTGAGAGCTTAGGGTCATCTGAGAATGAAAAGGTTTTTTAGCTAATAACGATGATCTATGTTTTACTCTAGCATCATAAGTCATAATCTCAATGACCATTTGTAAATCTGCAGAAAGATTTGTTGATAAAATTATCAGAGCTAGAGTTGGAAAAGAAGGAGAACATGGAGAAGCTACAGGAAGATATACATAAAAAGGAGGATGAAATTGATGGTTTTCAGAAGGAGATTTTGAAGATCAATCAGGAGGTGAAATCTTTAGAGGAGCAAGTGAACAAGATTTCTTCCACTCTGGAGGAAAAGGAACAGCTAATCTTGCAATACATGGACAAAGAGAAGGAACTGAACAACCAAAAAGCAGAGGTTTCTGAAACTGTCTTGTTAATTATTATTTTGGATGGAATAACTATGAACCCTGGGATGTGCATGTAAATTGCATAAGGATTTTCACAGATTCAGGGGCAGTTAGTAGCTGCAGAAGGCAAGCTTGGAGAAGCTAAGAAGCAATATGATGCTATGCTTGAGTCTAAACAGTCGGAGCTGTCAAGGCATTTAAAGGAGATCTCTCAGAGGAATGATCAGGTAGTATCTTCTTTCCCTGGATATTACAAGATACATTTTATTTCATCAGAAATTTTTGTGGCATTTTCTGTTGACAAAATTGACATTGGCTACCGTCATACAGGCAATAAATGACATCAGGAAGAAGTATGAGGTTGAAAAGCAAGAAATCATTAATCATGAGAAAGAGAAGGTTGGCAATTGTCAATATTCATCATGGTTATTTTCGAGAATAATTGAGGAATTGTTATATTATTTTGTTTCAATATCTAGAAGATAGAATAGATCTAGAGAATGATGTTGCTTGTTTATTACTTTAGGCAGACAAGACTGTTGCAGAGATGGAAAGGTCTTGTGAGCAAAGACTTGACAAGTGCAATGAAGAATCAAGGAAGAATTTAGCTCGCATCCAAGAAGAGCATACCGCTTTGGTATGTGCTAAAATTATACACCAATTCATAGTTGAACCAATATAGTAATGATTAAATGATTCTCCTGTCTTGTCAAAATGCAATTGAATATCTGCTTTCGGACAAGATGCTGTAATTTTTTTTTTCTTTTCATTTTCTTGGTTATGGATGCAATTTATGTCTGCTTATTGCAAACGCATACAATTCATTCACAACTAAGCTGGCTAAATCATTGATGCGTTAAAGTTTGAATTTGGATAAAGATAGACTAAATCAAACAATTATGAAACATGCCCTTATTTAATATTGATTGTGTGTAGTAGTATGCCAATTTTCCAATTGGTTGTCTTTCCATTCAAAGGTCAATCAGGAACAGCAGCTTTAATAAATTAGTCCTAGAAAGGCCTCTTTGTTATTGTGTAGATAGGGCCATAGGGCTGCGTACATCTGACCCTAATCTTTATCTGAGGTAGGTAGGAGTTGTGTTAGAATCATTAGGATGATGGATGTGGTACAGAAACACTAAATGTTAGTAATAGATTATCTTGACTAGTGATTTGATGTTAGAACATTTTGTTCTTAACTACCTGGACTTGCTTAACAGCATAAGTTGCACTTTAGAAAGACACATTTGGCAAGCATCTCTGTATCTTCTTAAAGGGGCAGGTTATTCTAGTCTGGATGTGATTAAATGAATGTCCGCTCATTCAATATCATATTCCTGACTAAGCTTTATTTTGTCATGTTCTTAGATTGATTGCATGAAGAAGGAGCATGAAAGTAAAGAATCCAATCTCAAATCTGAGCACCTTGAAGAAATGAAAAATATCCAACTACATGCTGAGAACGAACTCAGAGAGGTTGTGAAACTTCACATTTAGGCATTTGAGCATTCAAGTTCTTATTGACGTGTCAATTTCTCTTTCTAACCAGTTTGAAATTTCCAGAAAACAATGACACTCAGGAATGAGCATGAATCCCAGATTAGAGCCTTAAGATTGCAGCATGAGGATGAATGTAAACAGTTTCAGCAGGAGCTGGATCTTCAGAAATCTAAAGTGTGTGTCAATACTTCACATTCAGCAGATAGGTTTATTCTGATAAAATTGACTGGGATCTCATCATATTACAGGAAGAAAGGCAAAGGGCTTTGTTGCAGCTACAGTGGAAAGTGATGAGCGACATACCCCAAGAGGATCAAGAAGCGAACTCAAAGAAGGTTTGATGTTGATATCTCTCTACTCACTCTCCTAGTCTCTCCCATCCCCTCTCTCTCCATGGATGAGTATAATATGTATGGTCCAGAAACTTGCAAGTATCTATTTGACTTTCATTTTGTTATAACTTATAAGCACATCTCTATGATGAATATCGCAAATGTGAATGCCTTATAATAAATTACTTATATTTTGGAGAAAGCGGCTGAATCACAATCTCTGCTTTCTTCCTTTAGGAATACTCTGTTTCATCAATCAGGAGGAGAGATCTAGATGGCACTAAAAGACGCATGCCTCCTCCAGTGAGTGAACTAAGACTCTAAAAGAGTCGTGAAAAAGCTTTTTCCTCCATAAAATAAATCATGGATCTATGCTATTGTTGTCATTACATTTGACAATGTTTGCATTTAGGAATCACGTTATGAAGCTACTGTGCAATCTCCAGTCCAATCTCCAGTATCAACCTTGCTTAGGAAAGTAGGGAAAGAAAATGCAGGAAATGTGATGAATATGTCAAAGCATGGAAGGAAGGTGAGTTGTTTAAAGTTCCCCCAAACTTTGTTGCTTGACTGTTCAATTGGAGATTACCTCCATATATGAAGTGTTTATTCGATGTTCTCTGACAAAAGGAATCTATATTAGTTGGCCTATTGTGTATTGAGTGTTTATTTTGAGTTAGTTCTGACAATACTTGTTGCTTATCTATTTGTCTTCTTAGATGCTAACTGAGTAAAATCGCAGGTAACTAACCGCGAATTCGAAGAGGAAACAACAAGTGGAGGAGGCATCACCAAACGAAGGAAAACTAGGAGTACTGCTATGCTTGCGGTATACCCTTACTTGAGAGAATTATTCCATAGAAACAGGTGAACTTAGGAGAAAATGTGACTACTGAAAAATCTGAAACTTTTATTCCTGTGTTTTCTTAGGATCCAAGAAAACATAAGAAGGTTGCTACTCCTAAAGTCAATACTCCTAAAAGCTCTATCAAGGTAATGAAAGCTATCATTTGCATTTGTTCTGATTGTTTCTGTAGTCTGTGCCATATATGCTGAGTTTTTAATCAGAATAAATAGAGATGAGTTCTGTTTTCTTGCCGGGGTTCATAGAATTGTCCTATAGGCTGTTGATTGCTTTTTTACTCGTGGTTTGGATTGTTGGTTTAATCTTCTTGGTTCCTGCTTTTGTAAGTCACCAATAAATTACAGGACAAAAATAGTTGATGGCATAATCTCTTAATGCAGGGAGTTAGGGCAGTGGGTTACTCTCAGCCTACCAATATCGGTGAATTGTTTTCTGAAGGGTCTCTGAATCCATACGCTGATGGAGATGATCCTTATGCATTCGATTAAAGGTAGACAATTATATCCTTGTGTCTTTCTACATAAAATCAGGCTATCTGATTCGTTTTACTCTGGCTTAGTAGCTATAATCTAAGTATTTCCTTGGGCAAGTTCTCATTATACATCAAAGCAAGGAAAATGAGAAAAACTTCCATCTGAGTGTTTTTATTTTGTCCGAATTCTTTGTAAGGCTTGACAATTTACTTGTGTCATGAGTCAAATGATTTTAAACAGGAAATTTGATTGCAATATTAAACTACTAGGCATCATGTGGTGTATTGGCTGCAAATTACTGCTGCATCTTCTTTACTGAACCAGTTTTGAACAATTTTTGCAGATGACAGCAGAGAGTTTCTTTCTTGTACAGGCTGACAGATGTACATTGATTCAACTGGTTGTAGAGTGCCAGACCGATTTACCCAATGCGGATATGCTATATACTGGTGTGCAGCTTTTAACTTCAGGATCAAGTGTAAAGTTTCTTTTGCATAGTACAGGTCGTATAGAGAATTTAGAACAATGTCGAAATATAATGTCCATGTTTGTAAAAAAAATATTGGCTAGATGTCATGGACATTAGTGTCAAATCAAATTTTGAAACTCATTGTTCCACCTGCTTCTTTTTACAATCAGCTAAGGCTGTCTTAAAGACTTGTTAATTCTTTGTCGTGGATCATTTTTGTGCTTGAGCTTTAAGTGAGCATTCAATTCTGCCAATGTCCGATATTATCAACTGCAACTAATTTAGGAACCCAAAAGCTGGTGCACTGGTAACTGCAACTTTTTCGTCTGTTTATTCATAGTTGTTTTGTCTTAGATTTGACCCTCCAAGCCCATCCCCATCACAAACAGATATATCCCGTTAATAGTATTTTAGAAATTAGTCATGTATTCACGTACATCCTGTTATAAAAAAATTCTTATTCATAAATGTATTTGTCTGAAATCGTACATCGCATGGATGCTAACTAGTTCTTCAACATATGTATAAGCCTTGTCACTCATGCGAATGTTGATCTAGAATAAATACTCGCAAAATATGTCAGAAACTGAAGTTCTGAGCTCAAACAATCATCAATGGCACTATGGCAGAATCAAGTTAATTTCATCATTGAAGCTTTAGCAAAAACCAGAGAGAAAGTGTTTGAGAGAAGTAATTTGTGTATATTTAGATTAAAGAGTAAATGATTACAGCTGAGTATTTATACAAGTAAATAGCACTAATTACTTCAACTAATTAGTTATAACAAACTGATGAGTTGGCAAAGTTTGTTATAATGGAATTTCCTCTTACTCTACTGATGTGGCCTGCTTCTGGGCCATTCTCAACAAAATATAATGAGGGAGCCCCAAATTATCATCAAGATAATAAAAAATTATTTATCTAGTGACATTTCCAAATAAATCAACAAATATCCTGGTCAGCATCATAATTTCGTAAATAAATTAATATTTGTGAGACTCGTATTTACTAAAATTGTTGATTTATTTACAAAAATAAAAAATGCCATAAACACTTTTTTTTTGTTTATTATTATGAAGATGAACTCGTATTTTCTCAAATATAATTGTGGAGTTTTATTTTGCTATCAATGTAAAATTTACGGTACGGTATTAAAAGAACGGATGAGATAGATTTAGGACATTGGATAACATAAATATTAGATAAGATGTACGAATTACTTAATCCCCAAGCTTTAGGTCGGTAATTTGCACTAACTTACCGTATTACCGCGTCTTATATCACTCCTTCCAAACTCTATTTAATCCCTTTCTCCCTACTCTTTTTTTCTCTTTCTGTGAAACTTTCTTATTCACTAATCACTGCTGTTCATTCTTCAAATTCTTTCGAATCCTTCAAGTTATTCACTAAATTCTCAATTTCCCAGAAAACCAAGAATCATTCTGCTTTCTTAATCTTGCAAACAAATCCCCTTTTCTTCTCAAACCAAATTTTTTTCTCTCCCAATGGCGATTCCTCCAGGTATTTTTTTGAAAATTAATTGAATTTTTTCTACTGTTTGATTTCTTTTGTTTAGGTTAGGTTCGATTATATAATATTTTTTCTAATTTAATAATTCGTGATAAAATGTTTTTAATTCATGATAATTCCTGATTATTATGGATTTTGATTATTTTGAATTGGTGCTGTTTTTGAATTGATGGTATATGGTTGATTAAAATGTGTATTAAAATTGGGGAAATATTTGCAGGGGCGTTTAAGTCTAGGGAAGATCATAGGAAGCAGTTAGAATTAGAGGAAGCTCGAAAAGCTGGACTTGTGCCAGCAGAAGTTGATGAAGATGGAAAAGAAATTAATCCTCATATTCCACACTATATGTCTTCTGCCCCTTGGTATCTCAATTCAAATAAGCCAGTATGTTTTATTTGTTTGTTTGTTTTTTATTTTTTTTTTTTATTTTTTATTTCATTGGTAGTGTTTCGGTTGAAAACAATGGGACCTTGCCGAAGGTCCGCTGAAATGGAGAAGACTGGATTCGATCCAAGTTGTGTTGGGCCGAAGGTTTCCTGCACAGTGAACACACGTAAACTAGCCTCGGGGGTGTTTCCGAGGAAGGCCCCTCCGATGCTAAAGTCAGTACAATGTGTAAAAGGAAGACACTATGCAAGAGAGTTTGTAGCTTGAGGCTCTTGTGGAATATTTCTGAATGCAAGAATGAGCATATGAATTGGAATATCAATGTCCTCGTGAATGTGTCAATATGATGGCTTTTATACCTCATCATACATGGAGAGGTTGGGCTTTAGCCCAATTGACTTACTTTGTGGGCTGACCTTTGACTTTTGAGCAATTGGAGAGTTGAACCTTGACCTTGGGCTTTTAATTGGATCATTTAGTGCTCAGGCCCAATTTTGACTAAATTGGACCCAAACAACTTGCCCCCCAGACCCGATTTGGAAGGATGACGGGTCGGGTTTGATTTAATTCAGGAAAGGAGGGAAGTAAATGATTTAATTGATCCAAAAATTTGAGTTTAAACCGTAATTAATGAGATAACAACGGTTAATGATTGCGGAAGTTGGACGGATAATGGGCAGTTTAATCACAAGATCATGCGTTTAATGGTTACTTAGTGGGTATTTAAGAGAAATTAAAGCACAGACTCTTCGTATCCCGTACCTGGAGATATAAACAGAGGCGCGTCATTCTCCTCACTTATTCACCAACACAAACCCAGAATTCTTCGAGAGAGAAACCAAGAACCCGCATCAAAACTTCGCAAATTCCCCGAGCATTGAGCTTAGAAACTGAGACTTGCCACTACGAACTCGTAAATCGGCAACTTTCGCTTCAGATTAAGGTAAATTCCTTTGATTTCAGTTTATTTTTCTTCGAATTCGAACTCCTTCCCCTTTTCTTTCGACTTTTCTCTTCGAAATAATCCATGGCAAGAGGAGTTAGAGGTAGAGCCCGTGCTCCAAGAAGAGCAAGGCCGATTCCCGATCCTAGGAACAGGATTGGGACCTGGAATGGTCAAAGGCCGGAGTCTGACCCTGCTGAAGGGATTAGGGCGACTCCCCTTTCCTCGGCTCTTCCTCAAAGAACGGATGAGCCGAGCGCTTCTGGACGGGATGATGAAGTTCCCGCTGTCCTTTGGGATATCCTCCCTGGGTTTTCAGAGTGGGAGAATGCCGAAGTCGTTTCGGCCATGATAAAGAACCGCCCCTACTCATGGTGGGTAGAGAACGCCGATCAATATTGATTTGCCGAGCAAATTGAGTTGCATTACGGCATTTTTGAAGCTGATGGATATTGGTGCCGAATGCCCTCAGCATCCGATAGAATCCATCGTCCACCCCCGGGGTATGTGGGGGTGTACACGAGACAGCTTCAGTATGGGCTGAGGTTCCCTTTGGACGTTTTCGTCCGAGACTTGCTGATCCATTACAACATTTCCCTATGTCAGCTAACCCCCACCAGCATCCGAAGGGTGATGACATACTTATGGGTCTGCAAGTTCTTCAAGTACGTGCCGAACCTGCACTGCTTCAGAAAGCTCCATCGGCTAGTGCCAAATATTCAAAGTGGGCACGGAAGCCATGGTTCTGGGTGGTATCGGATTGAGTCTCGGCCCCAATACTTGACCATGTGGCCAAATGACTCTTCAGACAAGGACTGGAGAGGTCAATGGATTTGGGTTAGGGCACCCACAGATCCGGGCCACCCTTGCGTCTTCAGCGCTCCCCGGTACTTAGCTGAGCCTGATCCCGAAATGGGAAGTCTAGGTCCCCCCGCAGATAACGGGGCGGATCCGAACCTGGATCAGCAACATATCTTCGGCAAGCTGCCGAACCCGGGGGGAAGTGGTCGAATGCAGCATATCCCGGAGACTTGGCTCCCCGATACGCATTACGTTTTCCAAGAGAACATGCTAGCAGCTGTTGGCCTCAGCCGAAAGTTTAAGGATGGTAAGCTTCTTCGGCTGGGGCCGAGGCTTTTTAACTACCTCTTTTTCTTCTCTCGCTTTGCTTTTTTTATGCTGTGCCGACATATCTGAGCTAAACTTTTTCCCTTTCCTTTTTTCAGAGCGGGACGAGACCAACGTTGGTATTAACTACGCTCGTCTTGGTGTTAACCGAGAGCGAGTTGTAACTGAACGGGCCCCGTCTATCACTGAGCCGAGGCATAGGGAAGTTCATCTGGATTCTTCCCACTTCCAAATTGAGGCTGTTGCTCTGTATCAGAGGCAGAAGCCTTGGTGGAAGAAGAGAGACCCTTGGTTTCAGCTGCTGAACGAAGAAGCTGAAGCTGCCCGCACAGCCGAAGAGGTTGCACGGGTACTTGAGGCTTGCGAAGGAGGAGAAGGGTCCTCCAGAGCTGCTGAAGCCGAAGCTGCAGCTAGAGCAGCTGAAGAAGACGAGGCTTTGCTGAAAACCTCGGTGAGCTTTCAGACAACTTTTTTCTTTTCTTTTTTTTTTTTTTTTTTTTTTTTTTTTTTTTTTTTTACTCACATTCTTCTTCCCCCCTGTCTGTTACAGTCTGAAGAGAGTAACAGACACAGAGAAGGCAAAGCTCCTGTTCGTCCCGAAGACCAAATACAAGAGTCTTCAGACTCAGATATGGACGAGCAGCCCCTTCTGAAAAGGCGCCGAAGGATGGCCATCATCGGCCCTCATGACTTTCAGCAGAGGCCGATGACCATCGGCGTCGCAATAAGGGAACCTGAGGAAGGCAATGGATCGCCGAGGGTTCCCCAGCCAACACCCCAATCTCCTCAAAAGACCCCTCCGCCACCTCCTGAGATGGAGGTGGATCAGAGAACTCCCGAACCTAAGGGAGGGGTCCAAGAAGAAATGAAGAAGAGTGCTGATGAGCACGAAAATAAGGATGCCGTGATGTCCAGCGCTGAGGGCTTCACGGCAGACATCGCAAGAGAGGTTGAGGCTTTCGTCCTCACCCCTGAAGAAGAGGAGGTCATAGTAATTGACTCCTCTGAGAAGGATGATGCTGAGACAACCAAAGCTAATCAAGCTCCATCGTCATCCTTCCCTTCTTTCCAGACTCTGCATTCTGGAGAAATGGGTTTCTCGGCCCCCCGAATTCCAATCCCAGATCACATCTGGGACCTCATATGGGGTCAAAACCGAGAAGGAGCTGCAGCCTACTTCGGCAATTTTGCTGGCATGTCCGAAGTAGACAGGGCAAGGATCTGGTCGCTGAAGGCCACTGCTGGGATGGGCGAATCCAGCAAATCAGTTCCTGACCCAGCCAGGTCTAACCAACTGCTGATGATGCAGGTAATTTTCCTTCATTTCCTCCGAAATTCAGCTCTTT